GAAAACTTAATTTGTTCAGTACCAGAGACAGCGCCTCTCAGACATGTCTCCTTGCCTTTTCCTAATGCAATCAGAAATCAGGAATGTTAAGAGTTCTTCGCCAGCCTGCAAGATCCTCGACTATGAAGTGATGTTACAGAACAAATACCCTTCCAGGACACAGAAAATAAAATAACTAATCTAACTAAAAATTGGGCAAATCTAGATGTTCTAAACCAAAGGAGGGCAAGCTGAGGCCTTCCTGATGTTCTTGAATGAAAACTCCTATCCAAACCAGCCAACAGTCAGCTGGGGAATATGTTGGGAGACAGAATCAAGACTCTTAGAGATGGAAGAGATCCCCCAAGGGCCATCTGATCCACTCTCCTGCCATGCAGAAACACACAGCTCCCAAAAAATGCCCATCCAAAATGCCCAAAGGAGGAGAGTCCATCACCTTCTGATGGAGAGTCCATCACCTTCTTGTTCTGCTGTCAAACATTTCTCAGGGTAAAGAAGTTCTTTCTAGTACTTAGATAGAATCCTTTTTTTGTACTTTGGGCCCATTGGTTTGCACTCCGGTCTCTTGAACAGCAGAAAACAAGTTGTTCCATCTTTTGCATTTAGATATTTAAAGCTAGCTAGCTATCATGTCATCAGACTAGAAGATTTGGACTAGGTACAAGAAACGAAGCAGGAGAGCAACTGATAATTTTGTGAGGCCAAAAATAACCTATTCATTGCAAATACCTTCTTCATATGGTCAGAGAGGAGACTATACACACGGACATCACCAGAGGGTCAATACAAAAATCAGATCGCCTGCTTTCCTGATTTCTGTGGATGGTTGTGAAAATGGGACAAGCGAAGAAAGCTCACAGGAAGAGAATCAAGTCATTTGAAATACGGGGCTGGAGGAGAATTTGCTGGTATTGCAGACTGCCAAAGAGCCAAAACATTCAGTCCAAGAGCAAATCAAGCCTGAACTCTCTCAGACAACGTGGTTCATCGGAAAAAAATCAATAATGCTGGGAAGGTGGTAGGAAAGGAAGACTGCATTACAGAGGGATTGATTTAATCACGGATGTCTTAGCTATCTGGAGTCTGCAAGGTCTGGGAGGGGCTGTCTCTCATCCAGGTAATGACTGTCCTCCAGATGCACTCATGGCCAGTGACTGATGGGAGTTACAGTGCTATACATCTTTGGACCCTTTCACTGTGGAAGTCTCAGTCCTTGGCACACTGACTGAGAAGTACGTCCCACTGAATTCAATAGGATTTATTTCTAACCAAGTGTGCACAGAATTGCAAATAATATAATTGTGTGGCCTTTGTAGGCTTCAGCACTCTTGCACATTTATTTTACTCATATTATTATTCAGCAGAAAAGTGGGATATAAATTCAGCACTCAAAGCTGATAATGAAACAACAGCAGTAGTAAAATCAACAAAAATTAAAAGAAATAATGAAGCACCCAATTAAGCCATATATTGATACAAGTTAAGTAACAGCCCCACGTGAACATACGTGTCTTCACAAGATGATGGAGTGGAATGTGGGAGATCTAGTTCCCCACTGAACCACGACACTCACTGGGTGATCTGGGCCTGATTGCTCTTTCTCAGCTGGACCTACCTCGCAGGGTTGTTGAGAAGGTAAAGTTGGGAAGAAGACAGCCATGCATGGGATAGAAATATAACTAATAAATGGGATTCCATAAATGGAATGCAGTCGTAGAAAGAAATTATAATCATTTTTAAAATCTTATGTTTATGCTTTCATAAATGCTTTTGTATTGGTTTTAATTTGTGTTGTGTTTAGATATGTTAGCCACCCTGAGTCCCATTATCAGGAGAAAGGCAGGATATAATTGAATAAATTATATAATGATAGTCATAGAAGCGTGGTTGCTAAAAGGAGCTGCCATTTGGGAGCATACATCTGGAGTTGCCAAATTCTGTATCTGAGGCCAAATACTGCACATGCTCCAACATCCACTGTTCTAGCAGACAAGCAAATTTTAAAGCCTCTTGCCTATTTGTTCGCTCTCTGTCTGTCTTCTGTACATACACAAACCCCTAGATATCCACTCCGCTCGGCCAAACCAGCCGACCATTGGCAGCTGCTGGGCAGTTCATCACTCCTAACCTGCCAGGACCGTGCAGTAATTCCTCCCAATCCCCTTTGTAAACCTCCAAAGAGATGCCCAGTAAGCAGCCCAGTCTTCTCACCATTCACCTACCCTGCTCCAAACCCTAAAGCCAGTCTGCCTTCCGCCTGCCTCCCTTTCCATCCTTCTTTTCTTCTTCGCACTCTTCCGACTCAGGCGTCGTGTGCCAGCAGCTGCCAGAACAGATGGCCATGGCTTGACCCGGCGGATGGGGGTCTCCAGGAGAAGGAGCCCATCTGTTTCTTGCTGCGATGATGACAACACAGGCCCCAGACAGTCTTCCACCAACTGGCTAGCCTTACCCTCACAATAGACCAGGATGGCTACAAATCACGCTTCTCATAGGATCTTATCACACGGGGCCCAAACCAGACAGAATCCAAACGGAATCCCGACCTAATACGTATTATTTTCCCGTGTTTACACACGACGTCGCACAGAACCCCGACACAATGCAGCATGATCCGAGTTATTTTGAATTTCGGTTTCTTCAGGAATTGCAATTGCGCGACGGGAATCATTTCGCTTTCATTTCGCTTTGACCGTAAGTATGGTCACCAAATACATATCGCCAAATACATATTGGGGAGCATTTCCCCATCATTATCTCCTCAGAGCACCGCCTCTTCAAGGGGGACCTCCTTGGAGCG